CAAGTAAAGCGTGCAAGTTTTTCTTGCATCGCGAGAATGGAGGCTCCTCCCGATAGGGAGCTCATTTTCTGTCGTAAAAGCGCACCCGATCTCCGACAGGGAGATTGATACATTCCACCCCAGAAGAGTAATATATCAAAGAGTCTTATATGACTCTAATCGTTAATTCTAGGAAAATTTTGCAAGAACAAGAAGCAGCTCAACTCCGGCGGAAAGCTGAGGAGGCCGGGATCATAGCACCACCCATTCCAAAGCCTGAGGTTGCTGCTGCCGATGACAGCGAGGCGAGAAAAATTACGGTTAAACAGGTATTAATCTTAGAATTTTAATGACGCCTAACTTTTCTGCCCTGATTTACTTTCTGATTTCAGATGACCAAGTTTGCTTGGGATAACTACAGAAAATACGCTTGGGGTTCCAACGAGTTACGCCCTGTGTCGAAGAGAGGTATATTGAGTTCTTCATTATTCACTTCTCTTATCGTAACTTTCAACCTAATTTTGTTGTCTCCAAAAGAGTGGGCCAGAAGTCGTCTACGAGCGTACCACTCCCTTTTGACTTACTAATATACGACTTTTTCAATACATATTGACTGTTGAAATTGGCAGTTCATGTTGACCATTTTATAATATGTATCAGAATTATGCAGTGGCAGGGGCTAGGATGTCACGTGCCTCGGAAAAGTTGTATCTCTATGAAAATGTTCATTTTTGGTAATTTTCACTCGACTTCTTTTCACTGTGTAGTGCTGAAAACCCCAGAACGAAGTTGTTCCAGATAGACATCTCTCTCTTCCACAGTTTCCATATTTTTTATAATTCTTTTAGGTCATTCTGCTTCCGTATTTGGAATGGGCGACATAGGTGCGACAATAGTAGACGCCATTGACACGTTATGGATCATGGGGTTGAAAGAAGAGTATGAGCAGGCTCGAAGTTGGATTCTCAACAGTCTGAACTTCTCCAGAGCAGCGGTAGTTATCGAAGAAATCTCGTCTTGTTGCTCAATCTCTTTCAATGCTGACTTTTTTAGAGAGGTGACCTATCCGTGTTTGAAACTAATATTCGTTTTATTGGTGGACTTCTCTCAGTATATGCACTCACAAATGATAGGGTAAGCTTATCTTACCTGCTAAATTTTTTTCTGGATTTCTTATTCAGTTCTAGATGTATGTAGAAAAGGCTGAAGCAATAGGAAAGCTGCTTCTGCCTGCTTTTGATACTCCTACAGGCATTCCATTCGCACTCGTCAATCCTACAACAGGTAACTACTTTTCACGACGCGGCTCATAATTTACAGCATTCTTCAAGGCTCGGCTAAGAATTACGGCTGGGCGAGCGGCGGTTGCTCAATTCTCTCAGAATTTGGTTCACTTCAACTTGAATTTGACTACCTTTCAAATGTTACGGGAAACAAAATTTTTGCAGAAAAGGTGCCTTTTTTT